TCACCAGGTCCTCTGCAAAGGCAATGGCCGGGGTGTCGGAGGAGACTGCCCCGTAGTCGTGCAGTAGCTGGTCGAACTCCGCACGCCCGAACTTGGGTCCTGCCCCGAAGAACTTCCGGTCCACGGCCTCCTGCCACATCTCGATGTCGCCGAACCGCGTCGACAGGAACTGTGTGGAGTGCCAGCAGGGCAGGCCCAGGGTCTCGAGGGCACTGCACATTGCTGGCTCAGTTCATCAGCACGTTGGTGTCTCTAGGTAGTGGCAGGTGTGCTTACACGCCGTGCCTGTCCGGTTGAAGCCCAGACAGAGACATTCCAAAGGAACGGTTCGCTTCTTGCCTCGGGGCGACTCGTTGCTAACGGGTCTGAAGAGCTCGGGGTGTCTTTCTTCTAAAGTTGCCATCTGTGTGATGGATGATAGCGTCACCGCTGCAGAGGTATGAGTGCGAGTGAGAGAACATCGAGAGAAGCCAAGGGGAGTTATTCTACGATGATGTCGATCCCGCGTCCTTGGCGGTGAGAGTGACAGGCCTGCCAAGGCGGGGCGCAGGCAATCTGTGGGTTGGTTAGTGCTTAGTAGCCTTGCCATGGTGCTTATCAGAATGGTCTTAGTGCTTACGCGCACAGGATTAGTGCTGACGTGGATCCGCATGTACAGCCTCAATGGAGCCAAAGCTGCACTGCGCATGGTGTAGTGACCTATAATTTCTCTATCTTATCATCTATAGATCTCTTCTGCTTGGAATCTGCTGCATCAGGAACCTTCTTACTGTGATCTGTCACCCTCCAAGCCTAGATTGGGCTCTGAGAAGGTTGGTCACAAGATGGAACACGTGTTTTTGTAGGGTTTGCAAGTTTTGGGAAAGATCCCTATACGTTGTACTCAATGGTGCCGACACACTTAGATTGTGCACAGAGTAGAACTCCATGAGCATAATAAAATGGAGACCTCACTCACTTCTTCAAACACTGCCTCGCCCACTCCACGATCTTCGGACCAACCCCATCACCCGGCAGCCCAATAGACAAACAGTAGCTGACATGGTTGTGTCCTGACAGTACCTCAAACCGCGGAACACGGCGCCGCTGCTTATTGTAAGCCTGCAGGAAATCCAAATTACCTCGGACACACTCCTCGAAATCCCACTCCGCCAGCAGAAGAAAAAGGTCGGGCGCTGTCCCTCCAGCTTCATCGTCCTCGTGGGACACTTTCTTGAAAGCCCCAAGGGCTGAATGAGCGTGGATAAACTCATGGCCATTCGTTCCATAGTACGCCTCCATGCTTCTGCGCCGATCCTCCTTCCCCAGATCATACTCCAACGCGGCGCTTAGGAGCAAAACCCCACGCACCAGGTTCCGGCCTTCGTCGGAAATGAGCCTCCCCGCGTATAGAGCCATGGCCAGGTGGCCACCGCCGGCACTTTGCCCGAGCGCGAAAATGGAGTTGCGGTCGCCTCCGTATTGGTGAATATGGTCATGCAGCCATGTTAGGGCAGCGGCAACGTCGTCCCGGCCGTCTGGAAACCGAGCGTCGGGTAGGAGGCGATATGTTCCAAGGACTCCGATCATGCCGTTGTCGGCGAAGAATTTTCCTGGGAATGATTCATCAGATCTTATCAAAGAGCTGGACTATGCGTTAAAGTAACGAGCGCAACGAAGGCCGCGCGACATGGTTGGGAGCTTACCGATGTTGGCATGTAGGTGCGGCGTGATAGTATTATCGCCCGCTTTGAACGCACCGCCGTGGAAGTAGACGACAACGGGGAGGGTCGCGTTTGTCGTGGATGCATTGGTGGGCCAGAAAATCTATCATAAACCCGTCAGCCACGAATCTTGCGACTGGTCGAGATCTACAGTCGTTCACTGGACGTTTCGAATAGCCTTGCACATACATCCAACCGGTGTCGCGGATCCGGCCCGTACTTGACATCTTTCTCACATGCGATCGATGGCTCCGCATCCGGAGGAGGAAGGGATGCATGGCAGGTCTCGAAGAACCGCTCGCACGCTGCATTCACAGACGGGTCCCAGCGGCTTTTGAACCCATGGATGAAGTCCTGGATCTCGGGTGACAGTGGCATGTTCTCTCAGAGAGCCTGGCAGCCGTATGATAAATCAGGGTCGGACTTGGTTCCGATGTTCCTGACTGGGGGTAATACTAGCGTCACAGTCAGTCAAAGCTTTGGAGAAAGGGACAGAACAGGATTGAGGTGCAGAGGCTGACAGGGTAAGCACAGGTGTGGGGTTGAGACTTGGCTGTCAGCAGGATTAGCCGAGGCTGATCCCCGCCCTTGGCCGGCATATCCGAGGTGTTCCTGGTAGGACCACCTTACACATATTGTGCTGTGTGAGAGGCAAATACCTCGTTGCTGTTCGAGACCCTTTAGATGACTCTTCATTTAGTCTCAGCGTGCGATGTGTTGATTGTCATTCGACAGTGCACCTTCTACGTCAAGGAATTGGGGCCGACTGGTGGAAATAAGCCGGATGAACATAGCCATTTTCCACAGGGAAAGAGTTGCTGTTCCTCATCTATATCCCTGGACTGTATCACTACCCTTCTAGACTGAGTTGAATAAAATCTTCTTACAATGTGAAAAGTCATATGCTTGCTATTTAGCAAGCGGAATTACCTTAACTGCACCGTGCTATAATAGAGGGTGTGATTTTCCTTCCGTTTATGCATGACATCCCCAAGGAACGCATCATGGTCGAGTCGTTCACAAGCTTCATGACCACCTGGATGTTGGTCACTCTTGCCATCACATGCGATTTCGAATAATCTGTCTCTATTATTGCCCCGAATTACCCACCTCAGGTCCAGACTGGGCATTCCATCGAGCGGTCGGCCTGAAGCTCTTCAGCCCTTGAAGGGGCTATGTTATGACAGTTGGCTTCCATTCAGAGACCCATTTGTTTTGGGGTAATTGGATACAGAATACAATCAACGCACAAGAGCTTGATATACATCATGAGCAGGTTGGTGTTCGCAGTGCTGCACCGACGCGGGAATTTGAAGCAGTAGTGTCAGCGCATCTCGTGGGCTTCGAGATATATGTTCTGGTAAGGGTTGTGGTACTGCTGCCGCTGCTGCTGATACGGGCGATAATCCTGCCCGCCGTGAACCCGCGGAGGAGAAGGGCACATGAGTAAAGGTGCGTGGTCGGATACATCCGAACGTTTGCCAACGGCAACCGGTCTATAGCTGTAAGCGCTGTCTGCCGCACCCACAGGACCCATGGTTCGGGGCGGTTCACGCCGCGCTTTGTCGCCCCGAAAACAGCAGCAATTGAGGAGCCATGACACCGCCGCTAAGAGGGACAATGCGACCGCCAGCCAGGTGGCTGCGTAGATGTGCCGACCCATGTGACCGTAGATTCCGTAGGACTTGAAGGTCAGTTTGAATGTGCCCGCAAGGGTGGCGAAAAGCGTCGTGGAGGTGATGGATGCGGCGAGAGTAAACAGGAGGGAGACTGCCGTGAGAAGCCAGGCGAAGCAGCCTCCCAGCCGACTGCAGCAGGCCAGAAGGCCAACCAACAGCTGGACGATGCTGGTGCAGATGGCAAGTAGGTAAAGGATCTGCATCCATAGGGAAGCTCTCTGATAGATATCCAGCGTCTGTTGCAACCGATTAGGGACATGCTTCTCTATTTGGATTTGATTCAAATCCCAGATTTCGATCGGGTTAAACCAAAATCCACCGCGGGGCTTCGAGCAGTAGGTTGTGTTGTAGACTCCAATATGGGGATTGTTGCCAGCACAGTAGTTCCACAGTCCGATGGAGTAAAAATCGTGCAAGGTTTCTGATTGATTCGCCTCCTGCAAGGCTTGCACAAATTGCTTCACATGGCTGCCAGTGAGATCCTGAAGGGTGGTATCAAGGATGGAGCTTGGAGAGGTTGTAAGGTTTTTGAGTTCGATCTATAAACCTCGTCAATTGGTTTCTCTCATGCCCTGCGAGACAAAATTGACCTACTCGAAACATATAGAGATCCTTAGCCTGCTTGGGCTTTGTGCAACCAATCGCAACAATGATAAGGCATATCAGAGAGCCAATGCTGAGGAGACTCGACCCCAGGACCCATGCGAACCTCCCAGGTTGACCCATATTCTTGTATGATGCTAAGCAATTTTTGCCGGGCTCAAGAACAAATGGCAATGGTCGCAGGGGCAATTGCCTGTTAAGTGTAGAGAGAACGCTAGTGGCATGGCTTACTTATATATTGCGTGAACATAAATCTGTGGGAGTCTGTCCCAGGGGAAAGCGAATTTTACGAGATCTCACCGGGCAACCTCCTCATATCGATGGGAATTCTCATCCGCACTCTTTCCCCCATATCCTAAAACGAGGAGCCGTCATTAATTTGCGTTACATGAGCCTGGTGGTAAGGGTACTTGACTTTTCAACTATGAGCGCTGGGATCCACACAGATCAGAGGCAAGTGTTGTCTATACAATAACTCATATCCATAGCGTCAAATTTCATGGATCCACATTTTCGCCGAGTAAAGTCCAAATATTGGCCTTGCAGCCGATTCGGTGGAGGATTGTTGGCTCCTGGAGACCCGCGGGTTCAGTTCTTTGAGTGGAGACGGGCATGATGCTTGGCAACGGGTATGGAATTATCGCGAACACGAATATCCCTGTATGGAAAACCCGCCCGCCAAATCAGGAAGCCAAGTCGAGGCCTCGGGTCCAAGTCGAGCATAGCCGAAAGTCGTCACGGGTAGCAATGATCCGCCACTGCCGATCCAGTGCAATGGTAAGTAGTTCGCATTCGTATCCTATGCAAGGGAAGGATTCCCTGAGATGAGATGAGAGAACAGATTCATGACGGTCATGCGTGCATTTCTCGATAAAAAGAAGTAGACGTTCCGGGCGCTGAGTTCAGTAAAAATCACATAACCTTGACCGTTTAAAGCCTCCGGGTTGTATCTTCGCAGTGATTTCAGTGATCCCACTGCCCTAGATTTTACAATTTTAAAATTCCACATTCAGAGATGAATCTCACTTGTTCGCCCTCGGCGATTCAACCCCCAGCCGTCTACGGCGCAGAAATCCTCAACCTGTCAGCCGCCTGGGTCACCAACTACACGCGCACCGTCCCGGCCACATTCAACTACAACCACGGTGACGTCGAATTGCGCAATGCAGAGTTCTGCAACATCACCGTCACATACACGCACCCGGGGTACGACGACCGCATCACCGTGGAGACCTGGCTCCCGCGCCACGGCTGGAACGGCCGCCTGCAAGCCACCGGCGGCGGAGGCTGGCAGGCCGGTCGCTTCGTGCTGTCCCAGTTCTTCATGGGCGGGGCGATCGGCGAAGGATACGCCGCGACGACTACCGACGCGGGACTGGGCGATGCGGCCTTCCCAACTTCATGGGCACTCAAAAGCCCCGGCAACGTCGACTACGCGGCGCTGCATAATCTGGGTTCCCGCTCGTTGAACGACCAAGCAGTCATCGGCAAGAGCCTGATCCGCAGCTTCTATGGACACAATCCGAACTATTCCTACTGGAGTGGCTGCTCCCAGGGCGGGCGACAGGGACTGATGCTGGCGCAGCGGTATCCAACAGCGTACGACGGCATCGCGGCGTCCGCGCCCGCACAATCCTGGACCAAGTTTGTCTCCGCGGTGTACTACCCGCTGTTGATGAGGGAGTGGCGTGGGGTTCATCCATTGGCGTGCGAGTTGAATTTCTTGACGGCGGAGGCTATCGCCCACTGTGATCCCAAGGATGGGGTTGTAGACGGGATTATCTCCAACATGACGGCGTGCGATTACAGCCCGTATACCTCCGTCAACCAGACATTTCACTGCTCCACCCTCAATCGAACAATTGCGCTTAGCGAAGGTGCTGCGATCATCGCCGACGCCGCCTGGTCCGGCCCGCGGACGCAGGATGGCAAGTTCCTCTGGTACGGGGTGAATCCCGGCTCCGACATCAGCAGCTATGGCTCCGTGCCCGGCCAGAACAGCACCCAGGCGGATGTCTGGTTCAACCTGTTTGTTGCCAAGAACGCCAGCTTCGAGACGAGCAAGATGACTCGCGCGGAGTACGAGCGGGCCTTCCACCTCGCCAGCCAGGAGTATACCGATTTCATGAACGCCGCTGATCCCGACCTGAGCGAGTTCCGCAACGCGGGCGGGAAGCTCATCACTTATCATGGCATGGTATGTCTATACCGTTTGCTACTCGAAAAGAAGAGAAGATCTAACACTGGACTCCAACACAGGCCGACCCCAGTATCCCGACCAAGGACACCGAGTTCTACTACAACGCGGTGACGGATCTCTTCCCCGATGTTCAGGAATTCTATCGCTTCTTCGAGGCGCCCGGGTTGGGGCATTGCTCGGGCGGTGTGGGCGGGCAGCCCACCACTACGTTCGATGCCCTAAGACTGTGGGTGGAGAACGGGACAGCCCCTGCGACTCTGCCTGTGGAGTACACAGGGTCCGATGGGGCGAAGCAGTCGCGCATCCTGTGTCCTTATCCTGCTCAGGCGAAGTATATACGAGGCGATGCTTCTTCGGCGGAGAGTTTCCGCTGTGTCTAGACTGAGACCGATAGTGCCTACGGGATTTTGTACTTGATTAAAGTGCAAAATTTCAGCCTTGTGCGCTGGGAGGCAGGGGGTCTATTTGTTCTTGAGCATGTATTATTAGGATAGACAATGCAATTCTATATCGCTATGCGAACGGACCACATGATTAAGTTTCACCAATAGCCCGACGTACTATAGTAGGGAGTAAGGTCGGTCGTTGTTCCTAGGACTTGTTTCGGATCACCGATTCCAAGCTGGTCTAGCGGCCATTGCACAAACGGTCGGAATGCAGCATCGAGCTTCCGGTAAACACCCGTGACAATATGTTGCGGCCAGTGGTGAATAAACCAGACAGCATCCAGCTGGTGTAGAAGAACACAAAAGAACGAGAATAGGATGAGAGCGATCGGTTCTTGCTCCCGCAGATCGTGTACCAAATCATCTGGTAATTGATACAGCCAGGCGAAGATATGCGGGAACAGAGACATCCCGGGTGAACGGGGACCGGGACCCAGAACAGCAGCAAGACAGTAGTGAAGGTGATTCAACATCCGTTGATAGCTGGGAGAGCGAGGGTTCGAGTCAGGCACATAAATAGCTAGAAGCTGGCGCAGTGAGTTGAGATGGTATTCGTAATTGTGGGACTCTGCACCAATAGCAGGGTCCCGGCTGGCCTGGTCGCCACCTTCGGGTGTATCCGAATCAGGGCTTTCGTCCCCGGAAACGGCGAAAACGTCGGTCGGGATGTCGTTTTGGCAAAGCTCTAGAATTGAACGGACACCTAGAAATAGCCCCAAGTTCCCAGACCCGCCATCATCCCGGAAGGCCAGGTACTCGCCCGGCTGCGGGCCCTTGGCCAAGGAGGAGAGAAAGATGAAGATGGCGGACGCGTACATCGCAGGCGCATTCTCGGGATTGATTTGCGGGACCAGCGCCGTGACCTCCTGCACCGCCGTCTCCAGGTGACGGTCGGCCTCAGCAAAGTAGTCTGTCGCCGTGCCCATGTACTGGACTCTTGGATTGCCCTCTGATTTCCGCACCAGATGGAATCCGGCGAAGGCTAGCAGTAGGCGCAGAACATAGTGATGAGAGAAACCTAGCCGGCAGAGTTGCTGCTGAGCGCGGGGTTGGACGGCGGTTAGCTCGTTAGAAGTCAGGAAATGATGAAAGAGCGCCATGTCGGTAGCTGTGAATTCGAATGGCCTCTTCGCAATTTCATGCGAGGGGGGAGCAGAATGGTAGGGCGCAGATGCCGAGGTGCGTGAAGGGCCATGTGCTCGCGTGGGCGGCTTGAAGTTCGTCGGGGTGGATGAGATGTAGGTGTAGTCGCCATCGGCTTTGTCCGAAGAAGTCGAGTTTGAGGAACTAATCTCAGTCGGCGAGCTGCTGGCAGCTCTGGGTTGTGAGCTGTAATCACAATCGATTGCGTGACGTATGCAATTGGTACAATGCGGTTTGATCTCATCGCACTGTGAGAAGGTTGATTAGTGACTGACTGCCTGAGGCAGAGGATAGCTTGAGACAGCCACCAACCTTGATCCTTCGCCGCTTACAGTTGCGGCACCCATAGCGAGACTTTCGATGGGTTTTTCGCGCAAGCTTTTGCGTATAGGGTGTAATTGAGGGGGGCCTGCCCATGTCGCTAGCAATGGTGGCTCAGGGGAAAAGCAGAAAGAATGTGATTGTTGAGTCTGTGGCTCGGCCTTATGCTGTGCCAGGAAAAACAGGGGCACAATTCTATCACATGCGACAGACATATCGACATCTAAGCGTTACGGCATGCAGCAGCAGCCACGATGCAGAAAGTCTAGAAAAAGTTAAAAATCGCCATGGTTTCAGGGTCGCGGCCCTAAGGGTCAATTCCCTGGTTTCATTTGCGCAACCTGCGCTTGCTCCACTACCTTAGTACCGCTCATATTTTTGATCCACTTTTAGTCCCTCCCGAGGCTTCAACCACGTAAAAAGGGAAACGTTCGAGAAGGCGGCGCCTTCCACAGACATTCTCATATTTGGCTCCTATATGTCTCTCAAAATGACGACTATGACTAATCATTGCCTGAATTCAAAGTCTTCATGTTGGACCACACGATAAAGCATCATCTTCTGTGACAAAACACCAGGAAGCCACGTTTCAAAGAACATAGCGGAGGCCGCATTATGGAATTCTTCTTGAAAAAGCAGAATACTTGTTCCTGCACTTGGGCAATTGTTTCCGCCCCAAACAGCCATCAAGTTAGTACTAAAGTTCCACGCAGAGAGAGTCAAAACAAAGGGTATTTATGTTTTCTTTGCCTCATGGCAGCTTTTAGTGGCTTGGCCTGTTCCCCTGGTCTTTCCCACTCGGGTAGACACATGACCTTGTGTTTCTCGTCCGGATAATCTACACACTACCGGTGGAATTTACCGTTGGGAGGTCTTGAGAACATTGCACCTCTTATTTCCCTTGGCGCCTCACCAGCCCTGTCTTGTCGAACTGAAATGAGCCACACAGCTTCCTTTGTGCAAGATCCCAATGAAGCCAATGATCTGCAGCCTTGGGTGGAGTCTATTCTAGCAATACAACCTACCAACTCCGCGTTTGAAGTCTCCTGAGAAAAGCCTACGCTAACGACTGCTGGGATCTGACTGGAGATTCTGACCGGGAAACTTATAAAAGGTCGTCGCCACCGATCGAGTAGCCACTACAGACTGTGCTGTCTTATCGATTCCTCTTGTCCTCTTCCTTTAAAACCACGCAGCATGCAGTTTTTGAGTTGGCTTTTGACGCCCTTTAGTAGGCCCTCTACGAATGAAGCTCCCGAGCACACTTGGGACCCCCAGACTGTGACGATGCAACAACCACTTTCTCCAGCTCCTCCCCAAGCTCTCGATGCTAATATGCCGGTATGAACAGCTCTCTCTCTCTCTTTTTTTATTCGTAAAAGTGGTTATATGGCGGACTAACCATGCTCAAGGCGACGACACATGAAGCAACAGAACTCAACTTACGTGGCGGTGGTGAAGCCGGGAATGTCTGCTGTGGCGTGTATGTTATCCATTTCTGCCTTTTTGGACTCGGCTAACAATGCTGGAAAATTATAGATGCTGTGGCCTGCTTTGCTTTGAGTGCTGCTGTGGCGGTGATGAATAGAGAGGCTCTAGACCAATCTCTTGATTCTCCTCTCGGTCGTCAAAGTGTTGAATGTCCGAAAAGAGCGTCAAAAGCTCTAAACTTGAGGATGTTACACTGGCATCATCTCGATTCGTTCTTAGTAAACCTTTGTCACATTGATACCAATATTTAATACATAGCCGCGACTTCTTGCCAATCGGATCCTTGTATTATACAAGGTTGACCAGGGGAGCTCTATTTAACTGCTGAATTCCACCGCATTGCCTAGTATAAGTTTTGGCCATTGATGTATGGAGTCAAAGTTGAAATCTTACAGACGGACTGGGCACAACCGACCCACCGGTACTTTTGGATCCACAAATCTTACATAACCAACGATCCGCTTTCCCGCTAATTTATACGAGTGCGGATTTCCTGTTCTAGATTGACGTCCCTCAAGCTTCCCACGGCTACTTCTGGAATAGACACCCCCGCTGTACCTGAGTACTTATGCTAGTGGGCGACAGGGGGCGATTCTAGACAGCAATAACTCCTAGCCTGACTGTGACTGAGTCACTAGCAGACAAAAAAACGTAAGAAATTAATACCAAAATAGTCAGGACTGGGAATCCTCAGGCCTCCAGCTGCTACCGTATTCTTGCAGCCAATAGCGTCACTAAATCAGATGTCTTTAGATTCGCGATCACTTAGAAAGCCGTGTTTCCGTCAACCTCAGGGTTCTCTTCAGAATATTCACGGCGAAATCGGTGAAGTATTGTTTTGGCTTGTAGGCAAGATCGATTCTCTCAGTAACTTAGATGTTGGATGTTAGGGGCGGGCTAGTCCACCCGTTAGTCATCCGCTACTCCCCTTGGTGCCATGTTCTACTCGTACGAGGGGATCAACAAGCATTCAAACAAGCCGAGGGTTCTTGAATGATAAGTCATACGATCTATAGCCCGCGACCGGTTTCCTTCGGTAAAAAATAAAAAGTTCCCACGGTAGGGATGCATATATAACTCATGGATGGAAGGTCAGTTTTCACAGAGCAACTTGTCTTCCTGGCTATCGATCCAGATGATCAATCAACATGTCACAGGTATACTAGACACCCCATGATTGTCCGAATTGACTGCAGTTCATCAAAATATCTTCTCGACTTACAATACACACAAGATGCAATAGTACGGCTGCATACACTATTACTAATACTCTACAGACATCCCATCACATCTCGGCGCTTCCCTGATCCCCACATGAATCATCCCCGGGACTAGAGTTATATAATCTCTACAAGTTGGCTTAATGCATTCCAAAGGTTACCACTTTGCAATTCCTCACAGTGTGACCGTGTCATCACCACTTACTGCGTTTCTGGTCACTACAGTCTACCGTTTATGGGGACTCTCCGTCTTCCCCCACCTCCATATTCCTTACATAAATCCACTACCTCGCCATTTCATTCAACTTGACGTCTTTGCTACGCCTTCGCGTAGATGACAGACCGGGAAATATGCACTATTTGTGAGGTTCTTCAGTCCACGGGCAGGCGTTTTGCCTACGAAAAAAAAGGATAGGAAGTCAGGAACATCGCCCCATTGACGAGCTTTCTCACTTTCTATACATTATGCACAACACCAAGACGGGAGAAATGCAGGTGACTCCCCCGGCAAAAGCATGGCATCTATACCTCAGCGTCCAGCGATAGTCGCCTCTCAATTTGTCCCGAGAGGAAAAGAATCAAATTGGTGGCATAAATTGGACTGATAACTTCTCATTGTTGTCATCGTCGCTTGTGTTTGTGCTTGGGTAGTTTGAGGCCAGCCGTGAAGGAAGTGTGGCTTTGTATGTTGTCTCAAAAAGGAAAAGGCTGCCTGACGACCCAAAACGGCTAGACTCATCATGGACCCAGATTAATCTTATCTTCTCCAGGCTCACCGCGGCGGTCACACTCTCAGCCTCATTTCTACCACGCCGCTTCTCTCAACTTCTTCAAGATGAAGGTTATGCTTGTTGCCTGCGAGTCTTGTCGCTTGCGAAAAAGAAAATGCGACAGAGCCTACCCCTCTTGCTCCTTGTGCCAAAAGTTTGTCTTCAGCCTTATGTCCCCCTAGGTGCGCGTTTTAATCTATTCTCTCTAGGGCTGAGCGAGTGTGTTCCTATGCCCTTTACCGCGTCGCAGAAAGTATCCCAAACCAGAGCTCAAAGGCGCTGGTGACTGAGAGTCACCACACGCGCAGTTCCAAAAAGCTCACACCTAGCTCCTGGGACGCTGTGGAGAGTCAAGTTTATATCTCGTGGGCTATCCAGGCGCCAGCTGTCTCAGATTCCTATCCCATCGCCTCTCGCTGGTATATGCCACGCCTAATCAAGCACTGTAAAACATCCCTCTCGATCTCTTCTGGCTTGCGCTGACAGCCCCTGGGCCCCAGTCGTCGAATGTCACAATGCCACACGCGTGCCAATTAACGATAGATCTAGCTCTTATAAATTGCAGACTACCTGGATGAGAGGTGCGATGAGCGACCCTTGCTTGTTCCACGCAACTCTCTTTACCGGCTCCTCCAATTTTGATCTCCGCCGTGGAATCCAGCAGAGTACAATTACCCTGTATCATTACAATGAACTGATCAAATCGGTCAAAAAGCGTCTATCCGACCCGAAAACAGCGCTAGATGACCGCACGATAGCTGCAATCACACCGCTGGCACTCTTCGCGGTATGCAACATAAGTGACTTCGCCATCCACAGGTGGTAAAACTAACAATACACTAGGTTCTCACCGGAGATCGAGCTTCCGCTGAGGTGCATCGAGCTGGTCTAGCGAAGATCGTCCAGCTAAGGGGTGGTTTGGACAAACTAGGCCTGGAAGGACTAACAGCATCTCTCATCTACGTGTTCGTCGGCCCTTCTGCCATGAACAAGATGGAATCCTGACGGACTACAGGAACGATGTTATTTCAGATATAGTCTTTGACATGGACTCAAGACCTCTACCGCACTGCCCGCCCATGCCACCACCTGGCCTCGAGGAACGAGTTCTCAGCACACTTATCAGCCGATCTGCACCGGAGTTTCCCGGTCGCTCCATTCAAGCATTGTTCCAGTACATCCAAGAGCTCAAACTTCAGCTTGTGGTCCATCAATCGACGGCTGGTTGGGGTTGCAACGCGGCACAAGGCAACGCGATCTCGCTTCCTACCAACGATGACCCCGTGTGCCACTGTTGCTCCTTGGCGTTCCGGATTTTCCACGCTATTATAAGCGGCGGGGCGAATACGAGCAATTTTGCCGACTACCTAGACGCCTTAGCCAGCGATCTCCGTGATGTGCTAGCCCTAACCGACGACGATGTATGGATGCGACATTTCCCCGCGGTTCTTACATGGGCTTGTATAACTGGCGCCGCCGCTGCCAGTGATCCGCATCTGCGGGCATGGTTCTACTTCCGGGCGGCAGGTGCGGTGGGGATGCTCGATGATGCCGGCGACTTGTCTTTTCACGAAGATATGTCTTCACACTTCCACTGGCTTCGATCGTTGCGACGGGAAGTCCTTCAGTCCGGTGCAAAAGTGTTGTAACTAGGTCCTCAGCTCTATTTCGAATTTATTGGGGCTCGAGGGGCCCACATAATCCTTCTGCCCAACTGAACCCTTATCCCCATATGTGAGCCTCTTTCGGCCCTGCCGAACCGTGCAAGAACGGACCCCCACCATTTATTCAGGCCCTCCAACTGTTCTTCAACACCACTGGCCAAATCGCTGCGGGGTGTTGAACCCGTGTCCTGCCAGCCCTATTATTCCAGTCGAACAAAAGGGAGGAGGGATGCGAGCCCCACGCATTTCGCTGCCTATGAGAGGCTGGAGCAGCACTCGAATGTGTGGCAGTGCTGGCGCTAAAGTGCCACTAGCTCCTTGGCGAGCTCAGTTCCTTCATTGTTTTCCTCGGAGCGATTCTAAGTCTGGTGTCGGAATTTTTGTCTGTCACAGGCTAAGTTTGTCCTGAATATGTATGCGCCGAATCGCTATGAGGAGGAGTCATATGCATCCCACTCTTTTGTATGGAGAGCAGTCTTGTATAGACTTGGTGTAGTTCACTCTTGCAGCCACAGTGACTACCAATCTCCTGGTATTGCAGATACGAGACCCCGTGCTGCATGGATGGTATCACGTCAGCCACCATGCGGTGAAATGGTAGGGGCGCTAGGACATATGCAAGGTTTGTGAATTAAGCGAGGTCCCCGATTCACTCTATGAGTTCTGGATGCTGTTGAGGACTAGTCTACACGGGGAGTTCGGTATTCTGTGATCTGGACCACCGCTTATCTCCTCGACGCTTCCTTCAAACCACAGTCGACTTGCAGCTGGCACGTGAGGCACGGAAATGCCATGACGCGGGAGAATGAGTGCGAGTTATCTGCGTGTGAACTCGCTTTCTGAGCCGCCGGACAACATGGCCGGATCGCCGAGGCACGCCGATGGTAAGATCTCTTGATAACAGAAGACAAGAATTCGTTCACCTGGAGACAAATTCAAGTTGTTTCCCCCTGCTTCCGTGCTTCCTTCGTCTTATATCCTTCAAGATGACCTTTCATTTCTGGTTCAGATACTCAATGCAGGTGGCCATGATTACAACTACTGGATCTGGCTAAGGCATGGATGACTCGACCCATCTTCCGTTTTGGTGTTATAATTCGCGTAGGGGGTCACGCAAGCTGCAGCTGTCTGTGGATCTGTTGCTTAGCAGAGATGCATTTGAGAGACCTTCCCTTGGCTTTACTACCATGCTCCCCTTGAATCCAGTAATTGTACTGATTGATAACCACTAGTGCAGGCCAGCCTCTCGCTCAGACCCCGAAGCTCACGGCCCGTGCAGCACGGGCACTGCCGCGGGCCGGAGAACAGCCTGCCTAAACAGGAATGGCAGGGCTGTTTCAAGGTTTCCTCTTAGTCTCGGGCGGATGCATCCGGTCTCATTGCTATTTACCATTGTCACAGTGGACCCCCTCACCTACTTCCCAACAGAACATTAGTCTTCTTTTCTCCCGTCAAGAAAAGACGATGGTATTTTTCAAGCTTTTCTGAAGGGCAAGAGTGGGGGAGGAGGCGGTGGTGGTGGTGGTGGTGGGAGTCACACGGGCAGTTGTTGCGTGAGGCGAGTTCAGCTGCCGGCCCACTTCTCTTTCATAATTGCTTCTTCGGTTTGTTGTTCTTGCGTTCTTGATGACGCGGTTCGTCGCCTGTGGTCAGGCTAAGGTATCTACTTACCATTTAGGACTAAATCAACTCGCTAACCCTGCATCTCCTCTGCGCGCTCAGCCTTGGAGAAACCTATCGCTACGAATTCCCTGCGACACCTGGGTTTGTCAATCTTTTGTCTTCTTTTTTCACCCCACTATCCGAACCAACTTCACATCCAGAGATGCAGATCTTCCGCATATTATAGGTTGATCTGCGCAAATGTGATTCAACTGCGATGGTTCGCGAGCGACCACGGTACCCATTCGACTAGTCGCGATTGCCGGCTGCTTTCGCGAGTCATGCTTGATTGCTTGATTGTTTGTTCTATCTTTGTCCGACTCGGGTGGCGAGCCTTATCATTAGGGCAATTCGATGGCAGGTGCGCTCTTCTGCTCTGAGCTTTGTCTCTCCTTGCTTCTATTTCCTCTCTTGTTTTTACGACGTCAACCAAGAAGTTGAAAACAGCTTTTTGCTCTGGTTCCCAGCTCTGTTAGCCCTGTCACTGCGGTTGACTTCTTCTTCTTGTTCTTTTTTTTTGCGGCCAGTGACGGGACAAAAGGCTCGAGAGAAGAACTTGCACTCGAATCAAATTCAGTCGTCGATTGCGGGACCGATTTCTTTTATGACCCTCGGAGCCCGTTTCTTTCTAGTATCCCCCACCATCTCTTCACGATCCATCCTATCTTCGGCAGGGAAATTCAATCATGGTCAGTCGCAATGATGGTACGTTGGGAGCTATTCGATAGCTGATCTCGTCACCTACCCTATTAATGTTGAATACAAAGATCTACCGACCAACCTTGGTCTCACCGGGAGTGATGGTCCCCCAGGGGAGCCTAGTGTACCAGAAGGCGACGGCACTCCATCGAATGGCAACATTCCAGAGGAAGGCCGTGCTCTCGAGGCAGATGGTGTCACCGGGAGTGACGGTTCACCAGTGGAAGACGATCAACCAGCGGACGACGATAGTCCTGGAAAAGATGATGATTTGGTGCACACGGACATTGTTGCAGATGTTGGAGATAATAACAATGGCGCAGCCGAAAATAGAGCTCTAGAGCAAGAGCGGCCCCAAGGCCTACTGCAAAAGCTTATCAAAGCGATCGAGGACGGAGAACCGCAGACTGCGGAGAACCTTGTTATTGAACACAATGATCTTGCAAACATGACGTTCACCTACGGTGCAAGCAAAGAGAGCGAGAATTCAGAGGAGTGGACGACTCCCCTATTGCTGGCCATCGAGCTGAGTAGAAGTGACCTCGTTCAGCTTCTGGTCAATCGAGGAGCAGATGTCAATCTCACGGTCAAGAATGCCAAGGATTACGAAGGAGAACCCGAACCGCTCAAGGCATTGAAAGCTGCAATTTTGTGCGGTAGTCAAGTGGACCTCTTGGAAATCCTTGAGCGCAGCCTCGATATCATCAACGCCGATATAAGTTTCACTAGCGAGGATGTGATGGGACTTAAAATGGAGAAAATAACCCCCTCAATGTTGGCCGCCGCCTTTGAGCGACCTGAGATCACCAAGCTTCTGGAGGCCAATGGCGCAGACACAAAAGCCACAACGGTCAATGATGAATCTACTCCATCTTTGCCTGCTATTCGTACTCGCCAGCTTCGAGCTATCCAACATTTCAGGAATAGACGAGCAACCGGATCTCCTTTGGTGAACGGCGACCATACCATGGCGCCGCTTCTCGCCGCAGCTGAGATAGGGAATGAGAAGGTGTTCGATATCTTATTGAGGCACCAGGCTGACCCGACAGCTAGTGACAATTATGGAAATACCGCGCTGCATCTGGCTTCGAAGGGTGGAGACACAACCCGATCTACCAGCATTCCGAAAGGAGGCCACCTCGCAATCATTGCAGAACTGGTGAAGAAACACCCCGCGCTCGTGAACCAGCCAAACAAGGATGACGAGACCGCGCTCATAGTCGCGGCTATGAAGGATCAGAAGTCTATCGTGGAAATGCTGATCAAATTCAAAGCGAACATCGAGACTCGAGATGCATGGCAATATACGGCATTACTGAATGCCGCCACCTTCCAGGCAAACTCAGTCATTCCTACTCTGATTGACGCGGGTGCAAACCTTGCAGCAAAAACGGGAGCAGGATTAAACGCACTCCAGCTGGCATGTGAGAATAATGACGAGGACACTGTGCGACTGCTTCTCGGAGTTCCGCCGATCAAGTTGGCCACGCTCATGAGAATCGGCGACCCTGCGGATAGAACCGCCCTGGGCTGGGCAATTTCCGAGAAAAGGGATCCCTCGATCATCTTCCAACTGCTGGAGTCCAGTTTCTTCTTTCCGCCCGACCCGGCGCAAGATCAAGTGCATCGTTCCCCAGAGAGCGAGAGAGCGCCCATTGTGGAATGGCTATTGGATGAGTCTCGGGAGCAGGAGAGGCTCGGCCATCGAGTTCCGGTTCTCTACTGGGCGCTGCTAAACGCACAAAAAAAGCTGTGTGAAGCTGTTATGGGTCAGAACTCGGGAAGCCCTGCACAATTAGAAGACCGGTGTGGTGCAACATGGCTGCATGTGATTGCTTTAAGTGGGAATGTGGACGGACTTCAATGGATGAATGCTCTGAGCTATGATTGGAGTGCTCATCTTTTGATCAAGGCGAGCCGCGGCTTCACACCATTGCATGCTGCAGTGAAAAACGGGCATGAAGAAATGGTCCGAATCCTCCTGGTAATGATTGACAGGAAAGATGCCTCACAGGTATTAGATGTGATCTTGGGGGAAGGGAAGGATGCTGAAAGTGCGATTGCGGTCGCCGTCGTGAATAACGAGCCTGAGATTGAGGAACAGCTTTGGAACAAATTGCGAGAATTATTCGAAGCCAAAGAACCCTCTACTTCACCTGGCCTCATGCAGGATGGGGAAGACGCACACAGAAAAGGTGAATGGTGCAACACTGCAGAACGCGTGGTTGGAGCCGCAGCCTGGCGGTACACAACCGGAGAAGAGAAGTATTTGAATGGTTTCATGGATATTTACTCGGCTGGAAAGGCCAGGGCGAAAGGTATGGGGCCTCTGGACTTTGTCGTCAACTACCGATTCCCGACCGCCCTTTGGTGGCTGCTCTCCAGCGGGGAGTATTTTGGTGAGATCCTGTTCAGAAAAGGGAATGAGCTCAAAAACTATGGAGACGGAGGGGACCCGGCCAACGACCGAGAGAACGGACCTGCTGCTACTGGGATAATTATGAATCTCCTGACCAACCCTCCTTCGTTGCGTAGACCCAGCAATGGCAAGCTTTCGCCTGAATTCGAATACGAGAGATCCGTCCCTCAGACCGACAAAACCTACGCCATAGTGCTTGACGTGACCATTAAGGCTAAAGCACAAATTGCGATCAAGCTCAAACGTGGGGAAATCAGGGAGATCTTGTACGGGCGAGGGCCCAATAGCATCATGATGGACACAGGATATCGCGACCTTCAGGCTATGCAAGATGAGCTTTTCAAAGGGACGACGGCGCTATCAAAGAAGTCGGCAGCCGAACAACCGTCAGCACCACCGAGAGAGTCAAAACATACCACCGGGAAACAGGGCGAGTCTGCAGATTCAGGCCCGATGAAACAAAAGCAGATGCGATGGGTTCATATTCCCACAAACAATGTGAGACATCTCCAAGATTTGTGTACCATTCAACATCAGAGAAGTCAACGAGTGAACTGTACTGACCTTCTCGCATCTAGCTGCAATACGTCAAGGTATTAGTGCCCCATCATCTTGCAGAATCCTGGGCTAATTGGCAACAGGAACTCATGGTCAGAATATCTCGAGAGAAGGAGCATAGTCAAAGCACGCATCGTCGCTTGGCGAAGCTAGTGAAACGGAGCTGGGTGGAGATACCCGCGGGAGGAGAGAAACATTATATGAAACCACAGTGTGGACTTGTGAAGGAGGAGGGCGTGTCGATGTTTGCTCTCTATGTCTGTAAATCCTCTCAGCTGCTTGGTATGTTAATAGGTGGATGACGCTAACAGTCAACTACAGTTTCCCTACATATCGTGGGGTGCTGGACCTCCCAAAGCTCAGAATCACGGGAAGAACGAGCACAACGGCCAGGACCATACAGAGCCAGGGGTTGACCTCCATACCGAACAGCAGGACCCCAAGTCGCAGAGTACCTCGGAGCGGCGTCCGAAGGCAACATCGCAAACCGGTCCGCAGCCTGACGGAAAATTCAGCTGGCCTGAGTCGAAGCAGGACACGCGGAAAATAGTCCACGAGGCTCTTACCCTAGATCAGTATTATTACGACTCGATCTCAAATACGTACACAAGGGATCGCGACCAGGCTCTTTCGCGATTGTTTAAGACTAAAAAGGAAAAGAGAGCCAGGCAGAGCACACAATCACTCGAGGAGCAAAGGTCCAAACAAATACCACATGAGCAGGAACGAAACGATCAGGACCGGTCGTACGCGTCACAGAAAGACGAAGCAGAAAGCTTTCAGATCCTCAAGGTCAACCAGCTATGGCTATGGATCCTGCACGACGGTAAGATCAGCATGTTACCCTCGCCCGGGTGGCCGAGCTAATGGAGCTATCAATGTATCTCTAGACACCATTATCACCAGCGTAACACAGGAAGTCGAAGATGGCGAGAAAACCTTCTTGGAACGAGTTCTCGACAAGCTGAATCAGGCCGATTTCGACATTCCCGAGGAAAAGAAAGAGCAAGCCTCCAGCTTGCCGGCATATCAGATCCGAATTGTGCAAGGGATATTGGATACCGCCCGGGACATGTTCGATGCCCGGGACATTCTGATCGATCCGCCCCTTAAGGAAAAAATCGCGCCTCTGGAAGTGTACCGCAGGGCAATTCAAACGATGGTATGCATGCAGGAAGGCCCGCGAGCTAGCACTGATGCTGACTTGTATTCATGTAAAGCGCGATGAAGAAATCTTCCTGTTCGCTGGCTTCCGGGACGCCCTCAACCTCAAGGCAAGGAAGGGAGAGTCGCAAGCAAGAAAACCATTACAGCAGAATGGAGTATCCTCTGAAAGGGGCTCAGAACCTCAGAATTATTGGGAGAGCGAATCGACATCCGAGAATCCATACGAGAGGATCGACGTTGAAACTAACGTCCTTCATGAGATCAAGGACATTCTCGACGAGCTGAACATTCTCAAATCCCTGGCGCATGATCAAGACAACGTCGTGAGTCAGTTGGGTAAAATCGGGTCTCAGGCTAAATCGAAATTCGCTCTATCGGAAGCCAGTAACGATATCCAAGGCATGGTGCGAGACGCCACAAGCATTCAGGCCGACATCAACACATTGCTTGATTTGAAACAGAAGAAGGCGGGCATCGTTGAGGCCCAGGCCACGCGAAGCCAGAGTGACACGGTCATGAGCTTCACAGTGGTGACGATCATCTTTGTAAGTGCACGTTACAACTGTCGCCGGGACGTCGGGAAACACCTGGATGCTGAAACTCGCAGCTACCGGCTTCATTCTTGACCAGTCTGTTCGCATTGGATATCTCGGACTTCCCACATGAGAATGGCAACCTAGCATATCAAGGGCGCTGGATATTCCCGATTATCTGTGAGTCCGATCGATACACTGCGTTTTAACTATTTTTGGCACTGATTAAGACTGTCTTTTGCCATGCAGTTGGGGTCTCCTTGGTCGTCTCCGCTTTTTTCGTCGCACTTGCGTACAACGCCAATTGGCTTAAGATCCTCATTCAACGAGGTATGGAACACAATAGGCATGGGGGCTGGTATGAGACCATGCGAAAGAGGAGTCAGTCTCTCTTTCACCGCGGTGAGACAAAGGGAGGGAATCACCAAGATAACAACGAGAAGCCCCACACAGAACCAGCGACACCAGTAGAGAAGCAGAGTCGCTCTGAAGCCCCTAGATCTCCGGGCACTCGTGGGTGGACTGTGCACGCTATACTACCCTTCATGAAACACACTAAACCAGGGAGCGATGTGGAGGGCCAACACTATGCGGAGCGGGCACAGACGCCGAGCTCCCACGAGCAAGGCCCACTCAAGGTATAACAGAGTCTAGACTACATTTCCCGGCTCTCTGCTTTTGGCCTTTTTCTTTCTACTGCATTTGCCTTATTGTGAAGATGGAAGACTATTCGTCGTCTTATATATCACTTGGTCTTTATATCTAGCAGAAATTATTCACAGAGGTACTTGAGCCTCTTGTAGGAAGTCCTGCCATCCCACCCTGGTATAACAGGTATGCTTTTCGCAAATAACTATGTGTCCTGGTCTTCAATCATTCAAGTAATTTTAGCTTTCACACAACAAGAATTGATCCCAAAGTAGTTCCAGCATTATCGTTCACAATAATACTTATAATATATTACTCGAAGGACACACAAATCAGAACTCACCATGCCAATTCCCCGTGTCATCTCTAGCATGGTTACTGATATAGAAGTATTGACATAAGATTTGGAGTATATATTCTAACGCCTGCAGCAGCTTGTGCTTACCGAGCCCGAGGAAGAGAAATGGTCTTTCAGTAGGCTTCACATCCTGACAGGACTCATGGCTGTCTTCTGGGCTATTGTGTGTGAAGTTCCAGGGCCACAGGAAGGTAGGTATCCACCGTACCTGAGAAAGTCTATGTTCTTGGGTCGTCCGTGCTAATTTTGCGGAAAACAAAAACTGGCGGCGATTAACATAGATGAAACCGACATATATTTGCATCAGCTCTGCTAGTTTATAGACCTCCAATGAACTTTGAAGCAGTGTTCACCGGAAACGTCGTCCTCGTGCTGCTACCAAGAGGAGAAGTTGGCGAGCCGGCTACAGATTGCAACGCAATTCGCCCCACGGCACCACACAAGAGATGGCACCACCTTTCTCATCAAGGATGGAAATCTGTTTGACATCAATGCTAGAAGGAAGGCAAGTTGTTTCACAAGAGGTAACGTGAAGAGAAAGAAAATCAAAGAGAAATGGAGAAGAACTTACAGGAGCCATCAAACCGTTTCAATTCCTTCAATAAAGGCGTGCCCAGCCTTTCAAGCCGGAACGGCGAGCGAGGTAATCATGCAGACCAACAAAGGAAGAAAAAAGGAAATGCAAAGCCTAAATATTGATCTGACATTCAGACATGGGAGCTCGTCAAAGGACGAGGCCGGAAACTCCCAGAAGCAGCGGGTGTTTTGAAGGCCAAAAATTCCAAGTCGAGGAGAGATTGCCGACTTCAGAGATAATCATTACTACTGCATTATCCCCAAAGGTCGGAATCTGGCAAACCAGATAGTCACGTTGATGCAAAAACTTGAAGCGGCTTCGGCATTTAGTGTGTTTTTGTCAGATCCCGATCCCAAGATTGTGATCCCAGTGGCGACGGACCGGATGCAAGAAGACCGTTGGCCTTTGGCAGCTATGCGCACTGCACATCGGTAGAGTGAAAAATGTACTTTTGTCTTGTGGGCTACCTTGGGAGATTGTTGAGATATGCCGACTGCATAGCAGAGTCAAGGAGGCAATGTCGGTCAGACGTGGATATCTTATATATACGTGGCATTTCCAGTCACGGCTATGTGGTGTGCGTTATTGCTTCCTTCGGGGCGCCCTAGCTAGCTCCTAACCCAGTAAGACTTCGGCCTTGTTGATCTCCGTTCCTCTTCCGTTCGTCCACGAACCAAGCCGTCCTTGTATGATGATATTCCTTGGCCCCGCTGTTAGCAATCAATTTTACCAGGTGCTTACCTTACCAGCCTGAATACAGGATTCACTGGTGTGAGCTTGTTTTGGGGGCTTGGACAGTCAGCAAAGTCTCCTCTTCAATTCTTATTCCCCCCGTTTGTCCCGCTAAAGCATTACTGCACCACGAATTTACACAAAGCTACTCGAGTTCTGATCCTATGAATGTGTTTTACTATGAGATATAGCATATGGTAAAGGGTACTCACTCTTCTGAGCTTTCAAACGGTTGTCGCACCCTCCAGTGCACTAGGCAACATGAATAAAAAATTGAAATTTTCGCTAGACAGTGAGAGGTGGATCGTGAACGTAATAGTGGAGCAAAGTGAGGGGCTGGATTACAAAACCCGTACGCATGTCTCGTCGATGCGACGGGTATTTTTTGCCGAGCCCGGCTAAAATTGGCCCAACAAAGCTTGGTTCTCTCGGCCTTACAAGGCTGTAGAGCAGTCACTAATACCGAGGCAGCGTCCAGGCCCTGTCACAACTGGAGTCTGGTGCATCCGATCCCTTCCGAACAGCTTTTCATCGCCATCAGTAGGACTCTCAATGCTATGACTAATGTTTGAAAAGACAGTTACACCGGTAAATAGTACTGTAAGATGCGACCCGATTGACAACCCCGCGGTCAAATGGGATTCTCTGGCTAGGGCGGATACCCTCTTTCTCTCTCGTGTTCTGCCGAGTTATCCATCTTATTTTATCAATCGAACACGGATCAGATAAATCCTGGCACTTACCCCTCCTATTCAGATTTCCTGGCACGTTCTCGGTCTGGTTCCGCCAAGATGGTTTCAAGGCAATGGAATATCAGCTCCATGCTGCTATTCTCGACAGCTCTGTTGGCACTGTCGGCCTTCAATTATGGTCTGAGTGACCAGGCTTTCTCGTCGTGTCAGGCCATGGACTCTTTCATCAGGCAATTTGGTAAATACGACGCCTCGACTCATACCTGGAAGATTCCGGCTTTGGACACCTCCCTGTACAACAGTATTAAAGCTGCCGGTCAAATTATCGGTGAGTGTAGCCTTCTCTTGGATTTCTTGTTCGATTCCACAGGTGACCAGCTGCTAATGAAGCCTTTCGATAGGAGTCTTCCTCGGTGGTTATGTCAGCAACAGATGGGGACGGCGAATGTGCATTTTCTCGATGAGTGTTTATGCTCTCGGAAGTGCTTCGGTCGTAGTTAGCTCTACCACCCAAGCTCAACTTCAGACGGCACGAGCGCTTCACTGTGCGTGATTTCACTCCATACAAGTCTCTCAAATCTGGCTAACGAGGCTCATACGGCTGTAGATATCTACCTTGGAATGCAATTGGCCGTTATTCCCACCTTCCTTGCCGAACTGGCACCCGCCAAGAACCGAGGTGGAATTGGGGTGATATACTGGCTGAGTATCAAGTGCGGTGGGCTGTTCATCACCGGCGTGGCCCGAGCTACGAAGACAATGACGACCGATGCTGCATGGCGGATCCCGTTTGGCCTGATCCTCGTCATCCCCTTCATAGTCCTCTGTTTGGTCTGGTTCATCCCCGAGTCTCCACGCTGGTATCTCCTCCGCGATCATCAGATCGAAGCCCTCCAGGCCCTCACTGCCCTCAAGCCCAAGAGTACTCCTGAACAGGCCATTCAAGAAGAGTTCGATGTTCTCTCTGCCAAGGTGGCCGAGCAACTCCAAAAGAAGTCGTTCAGGGATCTCTTCACGCGCCAGAACCGGCAGCGTACCTTTGTGGTTGCTGCGGCAAACTTTTTCCAGCAGGCGACCGGTCAGGCTTTCGCCTCGCAGTACGGAACCTTGTTTGTCAAGCAACTGAAGTCGGTTAATCCGTTCAGCGTGACCCTCGGTACGAACGCTGTGGATATTGGCGCCATTATCATTTGTGCATCGATAATCGATGTCGTCGGACGTCGGTGAGTAGCAGTACCCAACCTCCCACTGTCATCTCGTCAATACAGATACTAACCATGAGAAGAATGCTCTTCCACACCAGTTCTTTACTCCAAACCACGGCTCTAATGACCATGGGCGGCCTTGGCACCGCGGATTCCAGCAATGTCCACGCCAAGCAGGGGATTGTAGCCATGCTTCTGCTCTTCAGCTTCAGCTGGTCTTTGGGCTGGGCTCCCCTGGTATACGTGCTGGGTGCCGAGCTTCCCTCTTCTCCGCTCCGAGAGATGACGCTTCAGATCGCATATACTGTCAAGCTAGTCACCGAGTATGTTAAGATCTTGTTTCCTTCCCTTCCGCGATGCACGGTTCAACCCTAACCCGTGTGAATAGATTCGCCGTGACTTTCACATATCCTTACATGGAAACGGCCGACACCCCGCATCATGTTGATCTCGGCGGCAAACTAGGTTTCATTTATGGTTCCCTGTCAGCATTGGCTTTTCTCTTTGGATGGTTCTTCATTCCCGAGACCAAGCAAGTGGAGATCGAGGACCTTGATAAGCAGTTTGCTATCTTCGAGCTTGTGGATGTTGAGGACCCGACGAAGGGGGCGCCGGCCGTGATCACTGAACTTCCTCAATAGAGGAGCATTCAGGAGCGTACTAGATTCAAGTATAGGTTCTGATGGTATTGACTGATACTTCTTCACAACGTACCTTCGTTCAGGCCATGATTCAACTTGTTTTGTGGCTTACGCACCGTGATCCCCTCGTATGGACCCGCAGACAAGATTTTCCGCTGACAGTATCTGCGAAATTCAACAGTGCGATTGTGTCGGATATTTGGGAGCATACATTGCTTCAGCGTTCTGATCGTTATAATTGATACCCCCCTGCATGGTTGCAATTATTCTTTTTTGACCAGGCGACTCAATACCTAGGATGCGACCGTGAAAGCCGCGCGTCCTTGGCCTTGCATATATATATGTAAAGCAGTATATTCGATCAGCTAGAATCAACTGGGGAAGAGCTTAATTAGTGATTACCATGCCTTGCAGGTTTGGCTTTTGCGTTTTTACAGACTCTCTGGCCCTCTGTGTTCTCCTAGCCCTGATGCCCGAGACCTCCGCCGTGCCTGTGTTTGATGGGCGTCACCCTCGCCCTCGCCGGCTACTACATGCTCCTGAACAACCGGCGTCAAGGCCTCCGCGCTGGTGGGCTCTGTGCTCCTACTGGCTGACCTGTTCATCTTCGCATGGACCGCCATCCCGCTCACTAGATCCCACCCTCTTCCCTTGCACGGCAGGCAAGAGAATAATGGCTCTGTGCCCGCGTCGACGGGTGCACTACCGGCGCCGTGATAAGACCAACAACAGGCTGGGGATTTCAGCATCCCGCCCGGTTTCCGGCATGTATAGCATAGACTGTGGTGGGGATGCGACTGACAAGATCGGCTGGTCAACTTCACATATACTAGAAGAGCGAAAGACAGGGATCTGGTAATCAAGGCTGCACGATAGTCTATTGGCCCTGATCCAGGAAGAAACACCGACAGAATGTAGATAAGGCATATGAATCTCTAAGTGACAGGCAGTATTGGATGATCTTTAACTCTGATCATTTTTTTGGATAGTAACTAAAAACGGTGTCCCGATGAAATCAGTTTAGGATCTTCTTTGGTAACCTGCGGTAACCATCGTGATGAAAAGACCAAGACTGCAACCTTATCGAGAATGCACAATGGTCTACTTAGTAAGTATACTATAAGACAAAGGGAGCCTTCTCTTGGCTAAAGGAAGTATATCATACACTTTCCCTCGTCTTTACCTGAACGCCTTGGGTGATTTACGCTTGAATGTCTGGATTTGTAGGAAAAAAACTGCCTTCAACTTTCAATCAAGTTCGAAGTTGCCACACCCACCCTCACAGTCAATTGCGGCAGGCCTTTTCTTTCTTCACCACAACAAGTTCAACAAAAAAAGTTCGCCAACCTGAATAGCGCCCTAGTGATTTGGAGACATATCTCAAACATCCGCGCGAATACCCGCACGGCCTTCTTCGCGGACACAGATGCCGTCTGCCATGACGATCACTCGATCCATCCACGCCACGCTCGTCGGACGGTGCGCCACACACAGAATGATACTATCGCGGAAGTGCTCCTGTAAGACCTGCTGAATATGGTTCTCCGTCTGCAAGTCCACACTCGAGGTCGCCTCGTCCAGGACAAGGATGCGGGGGTTGGCCAGCAGAGCGCGGGCCAAACAGATCAGCTGCGCCTGTCCAGCCGAGAGATTCGTGCCGCTGGGTGCAATCACGGTGTCGAGCAGAGCGCTGCTGTTTGTGCAGTGGGGTGTAGGATCGGCCTGCGCTCCCCCATTCCCGGACAGTGAGCCGCTCCAGCGGAGGTCAAAGGCGTGGAATGCCCCCACCACGGAAAGCGCATGGAGTAAGGTGTCATCGGAGTGAGAGCTCTGCGGATCGAGGTTCTGACGCACCGAGCCGGGGAATAGGACCGAGTCTTGCGGGAGGACGTGCACCATGCTTCGGAGGGTGGTGAGAGGGAGGTCGTTGATCGGAGTCCCACGGATGGTGATCCGACCGTGCACCACCGGGGCGAGGGCCGACAAAGCCGCCAAGATAGTCGATTTACCCGAGCCTAGACAAGGATGTGGGTGTTAGATACGAGAGCTGGCGATGGGGAAAGAGGGGGTTGGGATACACTCACCACTATGTCCGATGATCCCCACTTTCTCGCCCGCTCGGATGCACATCGAGAAATCGCGGAGGGATGGGCTGTGGCTGCGCGGATATTGGACAGTGACATTGGAGAAGATGATCTCATCTTCTGGCTCGGAGTCGGAAGACTTGATTACAATGTAGGGATGCGCCCCGTCCGGAGTATCCCCCATCCAGGTTGGGCTCGTCGGCTGCACGCGGTGATCATCTTCCACTGGGATCCGAGTCATGTAGTGGCGTAGTCGTTCCGTGGAGTTCATCTCGACCTCGACATTGATCAAAGACCACAGAAACTGGTGCATATGCTTCGACAGTGAAATGCTGAGGGTGAAGATGAGCCCCATCTGTAACGAGTCGAGCACACCAAAGACCCCGAGCAAACCCGCACACCCCAGCAGGGCCACTGAAAGCATCTCGATCCGCAGTGTAATCCATGTTTCCAATGCATAGCGGACGGTAATTCCGACAATAGCACGACCAAGGGCTACACGGTGACGTTCTTCAAACAGCTCTCGTGCATCATACGTCTGAATCGTCGGCATCGAAGCCATACTCTCTGTAATAACGGAGAGGACAGGGGAGTCCAGGATAGAACAAACGCGTCGGAGTTCGCGGGCAGACCTGGCGTACAGGGGTTTTCCATTAGTCCTTGCCAAACTGCAGTAAACGACGTTTAAGAGGGAACGCATCACTTACACTCGGTAGAGAGACTGAATACGATATTGGAAGTAGAATATCGGTCCGAAGGCCAGCAGAAGGTAGGGGGAGCTCCAGACAAGCACAATGACCGCCGCAAACAGCGATGTTGCAGCCATAAGCAATAAATCGCCCGCATTAATGAGTCGAAAGTCAATTCCATCGATATCTACCGATAGCCGGTTCAAGACGCGACCTAGAGGCTGTCCACTGAAGAAGTCCAATGGTGCGCGGAAGAGACGGGTGACGACGCCCTCATGGATACTCCGGCTAGCCTTCATCGTTCCCAATACGAGAATCACCCCAACTGAGGCTACAGGCGTGATTGTCATCGTCAGTACTGAATTCTGTTCGTCGGTTATAGGAAGCAAAACATACCAATGAAGACGGCCTGTAGCATGACGACTAGAGCATACCCTGTAAGATAAGTAGGTGTCGAGACAGATAGCACATTTCCCATCCACCATGGTAACCAGAAACTGTTGACAATTCGAACAGCAACGGTGAGAAAGAGCATGAGGGAGAGCAGCATTATGAACCGAGGGCCTCCAGCACATTCAAAGTAGAATCGATATAAGTCAGTGTCAACCTTACCACGGGCGCGCTCCTCCTCCGCCAAGGTGATCTGCTTGGAATCAGCAGAATCTGGCTTGGGCGTTGATTCCATGCTCATAGCTCCATCCAAATGGTCCTTGCTATAAGTCCCTGTCTCACCGACAAGGATTGACCCAATAATGCTATGTGGGGATTTTCGTAACTCCTCGGGACTTCCTACCTCCGCAACCATGCCGTTGGCCAAAGAAACAACATGGTCGCAATATTGGATGAACTCGGCCTGATGTGTAACTATAACGAGCTTACTTAGCATTCGACGTCCTTCTAATGCAGATGTAGCATTACCTAAAATAACGGTCTGCGGCAGCTTGAGGATGCACTCATGAAACAGCTTGCGCGCCACCCGGGGATCAACTGCAGCCAGACAATCATCCAAAAGCAGAAGATCTGCCTCGCTGTAGACAGCTCGTGCCAGAGAGACTCTAGCCTTCTGTCCACCACTGAGGTTAGCGCCACTCTCCCCTACTATTGCGAGGTCGCCGCCCGGAAACGAGGCAATGTCTGACTCGAGGCAGCAGAGGCGGACGACTTGGTGATACCGCACGGGCTCGTAAGACCGCAAAAACGTGATGTTATCACGAACAGTACCTAATATAATCCAGGGGTCTTGAGTGCATAGGGCCATCGTTGCCGGATTTCGTAGGAGTTGACCCTCAATGACCTCAGCTTGCCCGCCAATGGCCGCTAGCACCGTGGACTTACCACTTCCACTGGCTCCGTGTATGATTGTCAATTTATTAGCCGGTATACCCATGGTGATCGGTCCTAGAACAAAGCTAGTCGCACTGTCATCTACGTTCGGGTAGGATACTTTCGCATCATGGAACTGGATCATATTGCCGGCGCTGGCATCGCTCGACTGGGGAGCTTCCCCTGGTTCGTGACGGGCAGGCCGATGTTCCGGTTGGTGCAGGATATGGAGAATGCGTCGGACACACGGGAGAATAGAGAACTGACGGGTTACCGAGAGGGAGAATTTGGAGGCTGGCGAGAATGTCATTTCGAATAGTGTCAAGGCAGGGAATACCACCTCTGGCACCAGCTCATGGCCAGTATACCAGTAGCTTGTCAAGGAAACCATGGCGGTGACTGCAGGAATCATCTGGTTTATGGAGATAAAGAAGCAGAAGACGACGCGCAGGCGACGCCATAGGGCTTCCAATTGCATCTCCCGAGCTGATCGTATCTCCTTGAGAAACATAGGCTCCAATCCCAACGATTTGATACCGCGGATCTTTTGGAAGGCGGAGTTGAGGTGATTGATGCGCACCTCATCGATGCGCAGGTAGTCTTCGACTGCTACACCCACCGCAGCGTTCGCCCGAGTCTGGGAAAAAAGAAGGAGTGACATTGCCACATAACCTGATGCAAGTTAATAACTGGTTTCGGTCACGCAACGAGGCTCCATCCTTACCCACGACCCCAGATATACCAAGCAGGCGAACGATCATAAACGCGATAAGAAGCAACTGCAAAGGACTACTCCAAATATCATGAACCTTGAGCACATAGTTTCGGACTAGCATCATATCGGTTGTGGAGCTGCCCAAGACCTTTCCCACGGGACTCCGTAGATGCGCCAGGTTCGAAAAACGAACACTCTTTTGGAATATAGCCAGAGAGAGGACAGATGAAGCTCGAACAGATAGGACTCGACAGATCTGATCTTTGGCACGTCCAGCCAGCGTAGCCACCGCACTAGCTAGAAAAAGAGCCACAAAGTTCCCGATATGAGTGGGATCCTGCAGAACTCGTCGTAGGAATAACGGGAGGAGAAGCGTCAAGAGAGAGGCAAGCATCTAGTCAATGCCAATTGGTCAATGCACTGTTACCTGGGGTCACAATGCTTCCGTGGGATCATACCTCCAGTCCAGCTGAAGCCAATAGAGGACAGAGAAACTCCTTGCTTGTAATTGTCTTTCGCCACTGGGATTTGCGTGCCAGTCCTGCCAGTGGGACATAGTAATGAGCATCTTTCGAGGTGCCTGGCAACCAAGCTTGCTCTAAGTAGTCGGCTGATTGAATCGAGCGCATCAAAGAGGTGAGCCAGTCCTGCAGGATGCCATACTCGTGTCGTGCCACATCCACGCGGGAACCATCGGCATGAAGCTCTTCTAAATCAATCGCTTCGACCTGCTCGTACTGGGGCTGTTGGGAAGGAATCCAGCGATCCAGTAAGCGCCTGATACGCGATAATAGCACCCATGACTGCATATTGAGTTGTCGAAGTAGAATGAATGCTTGGTTTTCAGTGCCGCGAGAGAGATTGATAGTGAATGGAAGTGAGGGGGAAAGAGCTCAGCTTGGGAATTGGAGTTGCTGATGAGCAATGACCAGAGGAGGAGAAGCTAGCCCGGGATAACTAGGGCAATCCAATCGTCTGGGCCCACATGCTGCTAGAATTTACCAGCCTGGTCAGACTTCCTACCGGCTTCATGCGCACCAGCCCCTCCCCTGATTGTTGGTCCGCGCTCCTGCAAAGTTTCCGCCTGCTCAGGCTCTTATCACCGAGTAAATTGGTCACCCGGAATGTCCGGGATATCGAGCATGTTGCTCTTAGCTCCGGAGTGAACACTTGAATATCACCCGTCACAGGGCAGAAGTCCCTTGGGCATTTTCGGTCCAATCCAACCGGCTACGTTCATTTAGAAAAGTTCTGATGAAAGATACCTTACACTCTAGGAACCCCAGTGTTGATCTGACCTCTATCATCCTCACCTATTTTCCGAGATGGCATGGATATCGTTACCTGAGTCGTCTGCCATTAACCTTTGGTTTGTTTCGAATGAATGTGCGCGAAGCAAGGGCTCTGATGAGACATTGCCATTGCTATCTCCGCCGGCTTCCTCCAACTCCCGACCCAGCTCCAAATCTCAAAGACCTCTCTGTTTCTCGATAGTGTTTTTACGGCAACTGTGTGCTTCGGTTCAGCTCCTATCCCATCTCCGGCTTTATGAGTCTATAATCACTGCGAACTCTCAACATCGATATCAGTCTGCTCATGGCGATCCACAGGGAGCGATCCTTCCCAATGCTTCTTATATCCAAGGATGGCAGGTTGCCTTTGACTGTGTCCCCGGTAGATGATCTCCACTTCCTACTTTTCATCATCTTCTTCTTTTCTTTTTCTACCTGTCGAGGCTACGGTACTGACTCTTCGCCTTTCTCCATTTAGATATACTATACTTTCTTATTTTAACAGACATTCGGAAACATTTCTCTCGTCGCTTCATCCTTGTTCTAAATTGGGGGGGTACAATTTTGGCAGAAGGCTGGATCCTCTTCGTGGGTATGGATATGCCCTAACCGGCTCTTTAGGGTGAGGATTTTGAGGCATGAATGAGCTCACAGACGTGATACAGGATGGTCAGAACTGCCTTTAGCCTGGACGTGGTGCTCCTCATTATTTCGACTGTTCGGCGGCGATTCGCGAACCACAATAGCCCTAATGTTGTCTTTGCTTAGTGACATGACAGCTTCATCCGACCGGTACCATCACCACCTTCTTTGAAAGCCAGAACCAAACTCAAAAGACTTGAGCATTGAACACTAACGTGAATTGTCATGTACTATTCCCAGCCACTCGTATACATTTCATATCACCACCACCCTGTTAGCCGCCGAATTTGCTGGCTCCGCAATAGCCTCCTTTGCCCTGAGCTATGGTGTCTACGTGTCGCTACTACTGAGTCTCGTCCTCCCTATCGTCACTCTCCCACTAGCCTTTCTGATACCCTCCGATGAACGGCCGCTGAACCCTGGCCAGCGTACTGCCGACCAACATACAGAACAGCACGAATTGACCACCTGGGCGACTTCTTGCCTGAAACAACTAAGGAAGCCCGACTTTCCCTCGCGGTCGGACCTGCGGGTCTCCTGGCTCGTTGCGACATGCCTCATATCCCGCATCGGACGTTACCCATTTTCTCTTCTCCTTCCGACCGTGTCTCACCGTTATCAAGGGACTATGGCCGAGGTTGGTAACTCCTCGCGAAGATTGCACTCCGTGGACCGGAGCAATGATACTGACCATCCCCAATGCTCTAGACCGGGTTCCTCCTCTGCCTCAAACCTGTCGTCAGCCTGATGGGACTCGCCATCCTCATGCATTGCATTCGACCCCTCTTCTTGCGACGGCAATCCCCGACGCAATCGGCCGATGCGACTCCTCTCTTTGGCCCCTATCAGCTTGACCTGTGGACGATGCGAGGCAGTGCAGTGTGCATGGCTATAGGGGCGGTTCTGTTATCAGCACCACGCTCACTCATGATAGTATACACAGGTATGTTATCGCCTCGTTCTTCGATGCCAGGAGGTCTGAATCCACCAATCTTACGAATGCAATTAGGAGTCGTGCTGTATGCACTGGGTATCGGCTTCGGCGGTGCAGTCGGGGGCGTTATCGTGCAGTTGATGGGGTCCGACGGAGTCTTGCTGCCGGATAACATGCTCGAGGCGGTATTCGATGCCATCGCGGCGCCGGCGATGTCGTATACCTGCCTCTTTGGGGCACAATTGGATCAGTCGATGTCGATGGTCGGACTGTCATTTGTTGCCGCGGCGAGCATCTTTGGCTTGATTGCTATCGGGACATTTTTTTAGTCGGCGGGGAAGAATAATACGGCTAGTGTTTTACGAGGTATTGGAAGGATCAGCCTCGATCCTCCGTTTCTCTCTTCAATCCTGCGCTAAATTAGCCCTACTTCTGGCCAGATCGCAAGATCATCGCTGCAAGCCAAACGCTTGACACAATGGCTTGTGTAATGAGAACTCGGAGTTTCCAGCTTTGATTTCCCCGCTCTAACCTGATTTGTGAACCCTGTCCTGCAGCTCTGGTCTTGCAGGGCCATTCCATCATCTGTTATGCCTGTTGTGATGTAAATATTGCAACGTCGGAATTACAAATATGAAGAGCAAACATTTGGATGACTTTTGGATAGTCCCTGTGCCCCGGACTGATTGTTCGTGTCCCCATTTTTTTTTATTTTCTTTTTCTCTTTCTCCCCCGGTTCATACCTAATGGAGCCGCTTCTATCCCACCGCACGGCCTCACTAGAGCTGGACGAGTATGTCGATGGAGAACATGATGCCGAGAAACAAGAGCCCCATGTCTATGAGGCATGGCTGCAAAAAGCCCGCAAGAAGCTTCCCAACTGCCTCACTCTCGTTTTCACGGCGCTACTGCCATACTTCATCACCAGTTTATGGCGAGACAATGCTGAACGACCATCCCTGCGCCGCACCGCCCCTCTTGACGGGCTCCGCGGAATAGCTGCGCTCTGCGTGGTCAACTACCATATTATCTCGGCCTTTCACAACTTCGTCAATTACGGCTACGGGCTTACCCCCGAGGAGGCTCATCGTGAACCTCATTGCGCCCACAACAACGAGCCCATCGAGCACAATCTGCGCCTCCACCAGCTGCCAATTATTCGGCTTGTCTATTCCGGGTCCGCCCCGGTCTGTATCTTCTTTGTGCTCTCGGGCTTCGTGCTATCCTACCGATCCTGGCAGCTTGTGCGAGCCAGCAAATTGGAGGCTGTCTTCCCCAGTCTGAGCTCCTCGACCTTCCGCCGCGGGTTCCGCCTCTTCCTGCCCACGACCCTCGCTACGCTGATCACCATGATCTTGATTCAGACAGGGGCCTGGGATTATCCCGCCCAGGTTGCAATGGATGCAACCATCATTACCGCCGAGAACGAGTACCACCAACCCCGGTTGCCCACTTTCGGGGCGCAGACTGCCCACTGGGCGTCAATGATGTGGAACATGACCAACATCTTTGCCTGGGAGGAGACCTATCCCGAGTACGACGTGCATCTGTGGACCATCCCGATGGAGTTCCGGGCCTCGCTCCTGCTGTTCCTCATTCTCCTGGTGCTGGTGCGGCTCCGCTACCGGTACCGCGTGGCCAGTCTGATTGGTCTGATTGCCTACTGCTACGGTCATGTTCGGTGGGTGATGGTCCTGTTTTTGGCCGGCAGCTTGCTGGCCGAAACCTCCCTCCGCTGGGACGCTGCCCGAGCCCCTGAGACCATCATTCCCGCCAACAACATGGGGCTTTTCATCCTCTTCCTCAGGGCGGTGCTCGTCTTGATCTCCCTGTATTTCCTCTCCGCCCCAGACAAGTGCATTCACCGCACCCCGGGCTACATGACGCTGGCCAAGATCCTTCCCTCGTGGGACGTGCGCTTCTACCGCGTCTTCCCCTCACTGGGGGCCATTATCCTCGTCGGGGTGATCTCCCACAGCGCCAAGGAGAGTCGCCTTTCGCGAGTGTTCGACGTCCGGCTCGTGCAGTATCTGGGCTGGATCAGTTATTCGATCTATATCGTTCATGGGCCATTGATGCATGGCTTGGGCTATCGGCTATTCCCCCTGATGTGGCGGATCACGGGCCACGAGGCAACGGGCCCGTATCTGATGGGATTCTTTCTGGCGTGGTCGACGTTGCTGTTCGTGGTGTTCTGGGTGGCTGATCGGTTTGCAGTGGCGGTGGATGATAACTGTGTGCGGATTGGAAAGTGGTTGGAAGGGAAATTGGTGGAGTCAACCTCATAGATGGCACCGTAGTTTTCATCAGATATGTATGTGTACGCAGCCTACCACGAATACACCCGTCTCTGCTGGAGCCTTCCCTTCGAGCAGCAGGAGTACTGGGTCCCCCGTTGACTGAAATATCCATAGAACCAGCAATATAATCATCCGTCCCTACTTGTTCATCAGACGACAACTAAGCCCAGTAATTCTTGACTTCCCCCCACAGAGTCTCTTCTCTCCTCCGTCTACAGCTGGAAGTAAGCCAGCCCTTTCTCCAGATCACCGAACCACCGTTCTACAGCCTCGGGGTGCAGCCCGCGCGGCACATTGGTTGTGATCCCCCGCAAGGCATTCCGCACGAGATGCATACTCTCCAGCCGCTGGTCCCGCCACTCCGTCTCCGCCAACACCGCGGCCCCGTGCTCGCGACAGAGTTGCCAGAACCGATCGCGCAGCCGGTACTTTTCGTCAAACGACCCCTGGCCGGGCTGCGCGTTCCACAGGAAGGCGCGTACCGGATCCCACTGCGGATAGGGGACGGTGCCGGCGAATTCCCAGTCCAAGATCGCGGTGATGCGGTCGGTGGCCGGGTCGTAGAGGATATTGGCAAAGTGGAGGTCCTTGTGCGCGAGGTAGAAGTTGCACTCCGTGGGTGTGTTCCCGGCGAGCGCGGGGAGGCGATCGAGGAAGGCGGCGATACGTGGGCGGAATGGGGCCAGAGGGCTCTGCAGCGAGGGATGGATGTCGGCCACGTGCAGGTAAGATCGCACGGCGGCAGAGACGTAATCGGCGAAGCTATTGAAGGGCCCGCGGAAGTTGAGGCTCGTAAAGGTTTCCTCTTTGGAGAAGTAGCGCGGGATATCACCGGTGAACCAGAAATGCTCGTCCAGCATGGGGCCGACGGTGATGCTGCGCTGCTGCTGCTGCTGCTGCTGCTGCTCGTCGAAGGCCAGCCCTCCGATTCGTGGGAACTGGTGTTGATGGAGCTCGAGAAGGATTTTCATTAGCTGCAACAGAATCGAGTCGAGTTGAGCCTCGCTGAGAGTTGAGTAGATGTCGGAGATGGCTTGGCCCGGGCACCGGTTGCAAATCAGATACTCGCAACCTAAGGGGTTGGCACTGGTCACATCGAAGGCAACAACATCGGGAACAGGAATGGAGGTGTGCTCGCGCAGCCACGTCAGGATCGCGGTCTCATTCTCCGTCTTGATGCGCGGCACATGATCCCCGGAGATGCGCAGGATCAAGTCCACCTCCTCTTCTTCCCCACTTGAGGGGAGGGGCTGGTCCGATCGCAAGAGTGGCGCAATGATTGCTCGGGGGTAGGTCAAGACGTAGATGATGTGGAAAGCAGCAGTCACTTTCAGGGGCTTGATTGCGACAGGACGGCTGAGACCGATCGAGTCCAGCAGAGCGAAAATCGTCTCCTCCGCAAAGGGTTGCGGGAGATTGTTCTCGGTGGCAATTCCCATGGCGACGGGCAATTGGTAGAACAGAGGCTTGGAAGGATTCAAGTGGTAATTGGTAGTAGACTACTACTGTTACTGTGTTACTGTTCGAAACCAACAAAGAAGATGTATTTATCTCGATTTGGCACCCTTGATTGCGAGGGAGCCGATGTCGGGGGGGAGCGAGCGGCTGATAGTGGCGATAAAGATAGGGCTCGAGCTGGCGGTCGACGACGGCTCTTCCCGCACGGTTACACTCGCTGTCACCCTGTGACACCATCCACAACCCCAATGATACCTTCCTGCTTCCTCGACTAGACTAGGCGAATTTTAGCTAGTGGATACGTTATCAGAGACCTAACTCCTTTGGGTGACAGGCTGTCTACGGGCCTTGGCAGGCAGGCATCCTCGACCCTTTCCTCCTCGTTTAAATCACGTGATTCATCGTCTTTCTGGTTATATCCTACCACCTCGACGCGCTGGTCATGAAGGCTCACCCTTCAAGTTAGCTAACTTTGTGCTCATCATGATTCATAAGATTCCTCGTAACTCTGGTTACCCTTCTCCTCGCATCACTATTGCCGGGTGCGGGGTCTTGGGCAAAGGTATCGCCACCGGTCTTATAGCCTCGCCTTTGAACCTAGACCCCAGCAAGATCACTCTGACGGTTCGACGTGAGCAACACGCTCACTATCTGCGTGAGGAATTTCCTGGTCTTGCTATAACTCTCGACAACGGGGATCCAGCGCTCTGGCAGGGGGAGACGACTGATGACGAGGAAGGCCATTTTCTCTTCATCGTCACTAAGCCTCAGCATGTCCAGCTGGTCTGTGCCGATATCTACCCCCATATTCAAGCTAGTCGCACTCCTCCTGTCGTGATCACCCTCTGTCCAGGCATCACCATCGCGCAACTGCAAGGATGGCTTCCCACAGGCACGCCTATCGTCCGCTCGATGCCCAACACCCCGGTTATGGTTTGCCAGGGGGCGACCGGACTCTTCCCCTCGTCACTAGTCACTCCCTGCCAGCTGATTACTCTCACCCGCATGTTCGAGGCAATCTCGCCGAGCGTCGTCACACTGGCCCATGAAGATCAGTTAAATGTAGTGGCTGCCATTTCAGGGTGAGTTACCCTCCTCCTTATCCCTTCTTTGGGTCATGGTGGCGCACCTCTTTTCTGTGGAAGGCAGTCTTGCTAATCCGACAATTCGTACCAGGTCCGCCCCCGCCTACTTCTACCGTCTTATGGATAGTATGGTCGCGACTGGCGTGTCCCTCGGACTTCCCGAGTCTCTCGCTCGGGATCTAATCACGCAGTCTTGCATTGGATCCGGAGCATTCGCGCGTGAAATCCCTAGTGTCTCACTGGCACAGTTGAAGAATGATGTCTGTGTTCCTGGAGGTAGTACGGAGAAGGCGATGGACGTTCTGGATGCCCACGGGTGGCATCGAGGGGTGAAGGAAGCGATCACGGCCAGTCTGACTGCCAATCGGTCCATGGGACAGAAGGTCAAAGAAGATTCGTGATATTTTATCTACGAGAACATGGAAAGGCTTTCAGGTTTCCTGTCATCATGAGAATAGTTGATCTAACTGTATCGATTGTACATAATCTGCTTTAATTGCATTGCCCCGCTGGGAGGTTCTATGATATTGCTTTTCGATCAGTCCCTCATTTCTTTAATTCTCTCGAAATTCTCTCTCGAATTATTTTAGTTCTAGTAGTAGTAGTAGTACGACGAATGTTATGATCGCGGGATCTCATATCGGACTGACACCAAGTTGTAAACATATATATATTTCTAAGGCGGCAGGCTTGCCGTCTACACACAAATTCGCTACGCATCATGTCGAAGTTTGGATCTATCTAAAGTGATATTATAGAGCCGATTCTGGAAATGATATTGCACTTCTCTTCTGGTTTTCAGAGTGTATACTACTGTCCTGTTGACCGTCAATTGCATGTCCCCATTTTTGAAGTCGAGTATCTACGAGCACATGGCATGCACGGATGCGTATATTTTAATTTACGCCCTTAATCAGACTAACCTGGTTAGGAAAGAGACTAAGCATTTTCGCCAAGCCCATAATGGCCGCTGCGTCTGAAGAAAAGAGGGTCACATCTACGGAATGGAGCGATTAAAAATTTCAGGACGATCGGACCTCCGTCGGGGGGGGGGGGGGGGCAGGAGATCTTCAGTTCACCAGCCTCAGTGTCAGATTCCAATCGGAAATTCGTTAGCAATCCTGCTGACAATCACCGTCGCGATGCGCCGAAATCGGCTAATGCCAGTCGTCGATTTTCCGCCCCCACGAGCTTAATTTAGCGTGGTTTCACTCCTGGATTACGAGCATTCACTGTATGGCAGCGTTATTCGTGTCGATGATAAGAGATATCGGGTGAGGGGTAACATGCATCCCCTCCATCCCTAAGTCAATACACGGCAACAGAGAGGGGATCCCGAGTCCAATCCTTTGGGGATAGAACTCGAAGCACATCTTTATCGTGCCATTGAAGAATATCGCATGATAGCGGGAGTGTGGTTTCAGCTGGGCCGAGGCTTAACAGCCCATAACCACAGTACAAGGTATTCCGGGTCGGGGTTACCGAATCTGTCTGGTGAGGATTCTACCATCCTAGATATATACTACTATTACTGGTGCTACTGTCAGAGTGCGCAGGAGGCTCTCGTTGCATGCTTCATTCTTATCCTACTGTCGAACTGCATTTCATCTACTAATTCACCAAAACCGTATCATCATGACATTCGAAACTATTGACCTGGGGGCCATGCAAATTGGCACCCTCCAGGATCAGAAAAAGGTCGGGGAGGCCATCAAGAATGCCCTTGAACGACAGGGATTTCTGAAGCTTACCAACCACGGCATTGCGCCAGAGATGATTGACGAGCTATTTGCTTGGGTCTGTATTTCTTCTCTTCTCCGTGTGGGAGACAAGACCCAACTGACAGATTTCAAAGAGCAAGCAATTCTTTGCCCTGCCTGACGAAGTCAAAGCGAGAGCTCCGCACCCACCCACCCCGACTCCAAATCGAGGTTATAGCGCGGTGGGGATGGAGAACACTTCCGTGCACGGCAATCTGGGCAAGAAAGGTGGGAAAGTCCTTCCCCCGTTGATCGACATGAAGGTGAGTCCAGCCTTGGTCTTCTCCTCAAGATATGTGCCCTCCCCATTCGCATCCTTTGACTTTTGGTATACGACCAGGAATGTTTCGATCAAGGCGCCGCCGACGACGAGCTCTACAACAATATCTGGCTCCCCGAGTCCGATCTCCCCGGCTTCCGGACCTTCATGGAGTCTTACTTCGAGGCTGGATTTGCCTGCCAGCAACGTATCCTCAGCGCAGTGGCCCTGGGCCTGGGGCTGCCACCCACTGCGTTCGACCGCCTCCATCACAAACGCCAAAATGAGCTTCGCCTCACCCACTACCCGCCCATCGAAGCGCGACAGCTCCAGGACGGCACCAAGACACGCATCTCAGAGCACACCGACTTCGGCACCATCACCCTCCTATTCCAAGACTCGGTGGGT